AACTTAAGTCCAAATGTATCAGAGACCTCCACATAAATCCAACCACACTGAACCTCTTAGAAGAGAAAGTGGGAGGTACTCTTGAATGAAGTGGTACACGAGACCTCTTCCAGAACATAACACCAGTAGCAGAGACACTGAGATCGACAATTAATAAATGGAACCTCCTGAAACTGAGAAGCTTCAGTAAGGCAAAGCACACAGTTAACAAGACAAAAAGGCACCACATAGAATGGGAAAAGACATTGACCAACCCCACATCTGACAGAGGGCTGATCTCCAAAATTTACAAAGAACTCAAGAAGCAAGTCTCCAAAACACCAAAGGATCCAATTAAAAACTGGACTACAGAACTAAACAGAGAATTCTCAATAGAGGAGTCTAAAATGGCTGAAAGACACTTGAGAAATTGTTCAACATCCTTAGCCATTAGGGAAATGCAAATCAAACAACTCTGAGATACCATCTTACTCCTGTCAGAATGGCTAAAATCAAAAACACCAATGACAGTTTATGCTGGAAAGGATGTGGAGAAAGGGGAACCCTCCTTCACTGCTGGTAGGAGTGCCAACTTGTACAGCCACTTTGGAAATCAGTATGGAGAATTACTCAGGAAAGTGGGAATCAGTCTACCACAAGACCCAGCAATTCCAATCTTAGGCATATACCCAAAAGATGCACATTAATACAACAAGGATGTCTGTTTCACTATGTTTGTAGCAGCATTATTTGTAATAGCCAGAACCTGGAATCGACATTGATGCCCCTCAACTGAAAAAAGGATGGAGAAAATGTGGTACATTTACACAATGGAGTACTACTCGTGGAAAAAAACAATGGAATCTTGAAATTTGCAGGCAAATAGATGGCACTAGAAGAAACCATTCTGAGTGCAGTAACCCAGTTACAAAAAGACAACCATGGTATGTACCCACTCATATATGGATTTTAGGCATGAAACAGGGGAGTGCCAGTCTACAATCCCACTGCCAGAGAATCTGAGAAACTGTTAGGACCATAAGATAGATATGCATGGTACCCCAGAGAAGGGGAACTGGACAGGATCTCCTGAGGTGATTGGGAGCATGGGGGAGGAGAGAGGGAACTGTAAGAAAGAGAGGGAGAGAAGATGAGGGCAGAAGAGTATATGGGGGAGCATGAAGGTTGAGTCAGGGAAAGAATAGAGGAGAATAATAAAAGAAATACCATAATAGAGAGAGTCACTATAGGTGTAAAAATAAATCTGGCACTAGGGAATTGTCCAGAGATCTACAAGGATGACCCCACTTAACAATCTAAGCAATAGTGGAGAAGTTACCTTAAATGTCCATCCCTGATAATGGAATTGATGACTACCTTATATGCCATCCTAGAGCCTCCATCTAGAGACCTAGGCAGGCTGCCTTCTCTGTGATTCCTTTTGCTATGTTATATTTATCTCATTAGTTCTTATTTATGTGAGTTTTTTTTGGTTTTATATCTTCCATTGCAAGCATCCAAGAAAATTCCATGTCACTCCAATTTTTAGTCATTTAGCCTCTGAAGAACTTGCTGAGGATAGGCTGAGTCTCAGTAGCAATGTAAAATGTGGAAAAGGAAGCAAAAAATAGAGATCTCTGGACATGTGCTGTACTGTCAAACACAAGATAATCGGTAAGGCCTAGGTACTTATGGAACTTCTATGTAAATATGCATAGTTTATATAGGACAAAGAATCAATCTTAGAATCTGTCAGTTTTCAGCCCTTAATCTTTGAATCTTACTCACATTGATTTTGTTGCTAATGATACTGTCAAACAGCTATTCTTTCTTTTGATACAATGTATGACACAGATTGGCCTCAGACTCTCATGTTTTTAATGCTCTATTCATAATTCAAAATTATTTAACAATTACCATCTCTTATTATTTGTACTGTGAATTGAAAATGATTATTTCTGCCTAAATTCTTTCTTGTATTTATCAACAGAAATACATTTTGAAGTAATAAGCAGATAATGAGTAAGTGACCCAAGCTTGCCTCAGACTTGGAGGAGCACAGCAATGTAGACTTTAGAGAAATTCAGAGAATGTAGGTAATGTAATTCTACCAATTTTGCAAACTTCAGAAAGCTGTAAGTTATTTTATAGCAGAATGAACCTGATAAAGGCTGCTATGGATGTAGATCACATAGAAAAATTAGGGCTTTAGTTAATGGTATTTATTGTTGTGATTATTTTTGCCTTGGATTATAAAAACATTCCTTTACAGATTTCTGTTTTGAGACTATTAGAGAATATACAAGTTTCAGGTTACCCAAGGCTGTACAGACAGTTTGTGTTCAGAAAACATGGTGATAATAAAAACTTAGACTTCAAAGTCCATATAGGAAAAAAAACTTTCAAGCTCCTCTGACCTCCCAAAGGCAGCCCAACAGACAAGACTTAACAAAGGACTGGGCACCTGATTAGAGGCCTGAGACCAGATAACACACCCAAGCTGTGTCAACATTTCTCTGTCCTAAAGAAGACCAGATAGCCATCAACTCTCAGTTGTAAAAATTCCTCACCCAGGACATAACAAACTTATTTCCCCCATAATATCCTGATTAATTGTATCCTGCCTAAACATACAGTTATTTTTTCATCCTATGTAACCATGGAAGCTTCGTAATCTTGAGGCTTTGAGTCTTTTGGACTTTCCCTTTACCCTGCCCCCTCAGCTGTAAGCAGTATTTTTCTTGCTCCCTAGTTGGCAGAATCAGCTTGTCAAGAAAAGAAACCTTTGATCTTACATTTGGTCAGTCGTCTCTTTGGTGGTGGACTTTTTGGAGTCCCTCAAATTTAGCATAGAATAATATAGATTTCCAGTATTAATCAGCTAAAAATACTGGCTACGTGAGCCAGTTAATAATGACTGACACTGGACATCCTTGAAATCATAAAGAAAGAAGGGAAATTATCTATTTTTAAATAATGTCATTTTTCTGTGGCTCATGTATAAATGTGGCCTTGAAGCTAGATTCCTTAGCTTTCACATTTCCCAGACAGCCTTTATGTGTCTGTTTGTAGGCCTGTATATATACTTGTGTGTGGTCTCTGAAGTGTTCCTATTTGCATACATGACTTAACCCACCTATGTGTGGTACCTGTGGGTTGTTGTGTGCCTGAGTGCCTGACAACACCATCCTGCCTAGTGACAGGTGTGTTCCTAAGTAGAATAAGACTTATCTGTCTATAGTTCATATAATTATTTTCAACCTCATATTTTCCTATGACCCTCCTTTTCTGTCATTAGTGTGGACCACACACAAGCCTGGACCATAGGTCAGCCATAATGCTACTCAATAAGTAAAACCAAGTATGTTTCCGAATTATATGAGGACATTTAATATATTTTGTGTCAGAGCCCATAAAAGTGACTCCATTCTATTTTGCTTTAAGGTCTTGATTTTCTAAGGTGAAACAACAAGGATTCTGGCCTAGGATTCATGCTACAGGATACTTGGCCTAAGGTGTGGTTGGTCAATGCATGTCTTGCCTAAACAACAGAATACTTAACTCAGGATTTAGTTACTTGATATTTCGGGTACTGAAGAGGTAATTACACTATTTGTTCCTTGTATCATTGGAAAAGAATTCTTTTGTCTTCTCCCTCTCTTTTGTTGGGGTATAAAAGATCTTTGAACAATAAACTTGAGCTGATCCTGGTATTCACCAAGTGCCCTTCCAACTATCTCTTATCTATCATCAATCCACATTCCCCCTCTCAGATTGGCTGAACCTAACAGATGTCCCAGCAACATAGATTACTACAATTTCGATATTTGTAGGTGAGCTTGTTCTTTCTCACATATTGGCATATCAAAATGCTCTTTTTTTGTTAATAGCATCCAAACTTTCTCCTTAGTGTTTCAACTCTAACAACAATTTTGTATATCTTTATTTACTACCCAAGTATGGACTCATCTCTTAGAGTATGACAAAATACACTCGAAACAACTTATTTAAGATATCTTCTTGGAACCCACGCTCAAATATTAGACCAAGCTTGGTGAATCTTGCTAAATATGAAGGAAAGATTGAAAGAGTCAAGGACATCAAGTGAAAACCTATAGGTATATAAAATGTACCTGCAATCTCATACCTGTTTGGAGGAAGAGTCAGGTACAGGAGGATCCATGGAGGCTTCTGGCTACTAGCTTAACTCCAGGTTAAGCCTGTCTCAAGGATATAAAAATGAGTGTGTCAGAGCAGGACTTTCATTGTTCTTCTTTAGAATCTGTGCAAGAGTGCACACAGACATGTGTGTGTTCATATACCACACATTGCACACAAACACACACATACAAATACAAAATACATCCTTTTATTAATTATTAAAATGGAATATAGATCTACCAGCCTATACCAATAATGCTAACTCAATTGTTTCTTGGTCCTCTTCTCAGAGTAGTATTATTAATAATAGGACATCATGTGTACAGACATTGTATATATTTACCTGTACTAGGACAATTATTTAGACTCCTTGCATTCTTATCAAATAGACACTTACTTCTGATACTTTTAAAGTTCCAAATAAATTATTAAGGTATATTCTCTGTTCCAGTCACTTTGCTGGAAGATATGCTACCTGAAGATATGGGCCTTGATCACCACCCCCACATTTTCACTTAGCCCACTATACAGCATCACTGAAAATTTTGTGCACTGAAAATGGGAATTCCTAATGCTCCAAACTACCTTCGCCAAATAATTTACATGCGTTTTGTGCCTAAAATCTCTAGTTCTTCATATTATCATTTTACTTGTCTTCATGTTGAATCTCACCCTCTTCCTTATTTGTAGCTATGATTAGGCTTTAAAGTCCTCTTAAGTGCTGAATGAATTGGTTTGGTAGTCCAAAGAACAGATCCTCAACTATGCTCTGGAAAAAATAATGAAGCAATGAAAGTGTTAATAAGAAGTTTATTATAATGTATTAGTTCTTACAGTAAGTAATCAGATCCAAGTTTGTGTCAATTGATATTACAAACAACAAATGATGGAGCCAATTAAGAATTTATTCTTGTATTTGTTTCACCAATGTGTGATATTACATTTCCAAGAGAATCACTTTTACAATTTCATGTTACCTTATGCAACACTAAAAAAAAATTTGTGGAAATTTTTCAATTTTTATAAAAGTAACAGAATTCTTTGGTTGTAAAATTGAAATGCAGCAATAAATGTGTCAATCATAACATCAAGAAACAAAGACTGTGAAACAAATTAATTTTCCATTAATGGAACATTTTCAATTTACCAAAACAATTATACATATCATTTAGTCATTGTATAGCATAAAAAATAAAATATATTCTTTATTCCTGTGACACAAAAACTCTCCACTACATAGAAGGCTGACAACTTTTCAAACAGGAAGTGAAAGCTCAATGTTGGTTGCAGCTATTTGTGAGAGGAGTTGCAGGACATTGGATGAACATTTGCCATGGCATCTGGATATCCCTGTTCTGCTCTCTCCATTGCATCTTTAAGAGCTTCTTCATATGGAGTAGGAAAGAAGCTAGGAACGGTGTCATTGATCCTAGCCCAAACCTCTAGGACTTTCATTTTGCTGGTTTCTACATGGGCCCGGGAACCCCACAGGAAATCATATCTTGAGGATTTACCCTCAGACATTTTGTGGATCTCAAGGTAATTTTGCTCAACCAGATCTTTGGTGATGAGCTTCCGGGGCTCCCCAAAGATCAAGTGCTTCTTCCCTGCATATACACCTAACACATTCAGGAATTTCCAGACCTCTTCCTCAGTGGCACGATTGCCTTTTGTGAATATTAGACCCAAGATGGTCATCAGGAGACCCATCTTTGGCAACCCCCTCTTGCCACTTAGAATTTCATCAGTGGAGAGACCTAGCTTGCTGACAATGGCATAGGACTGACTATTGGGATTGATTTTCTTTAAACGCATTCCAAAGATCATTTCCATGCGGGAAGAAGATTTCCTGAGGATGTCAGAAAACTGTGTTTTGTATTTCTTGTTGACGACATTCAGCATATCTTCATCTGTAAACTCCTCACTCTTTTGAAACTTCTCCAGCAGGAACTCAACCAACATGCTAGCCTTCTTGGTAAGAGCATCTTTGCATATTGGCTGATTGAAGGTTTCTGCCTGAAAGGCACGTGGAGCACAAACAGCACAGTCATCAGAACTTCCAGCACCTAGATCAGAACCTGTATAGGACATATCTACATCAGGAGAGACAAGAAATGCAACTCACTGAGGAGCGTGGGCATTAGAAGAACTTGGAGAATTACCTTGGCTAACAGGAGGAGATGCTGATTCTCTCACTACAGAAGGTTTAGCACCTTGGCTGTCCCCCTGTGCATGATGATGTTTGACACGGGTGTGGCCCTTGTTCTTCTGGCCCTTATTCTTGTGGGCCCTAGGCATGACAGCAGGAGTCAAAGACAATGGTCAGGATTTTAGTCAGGAGAACTGGCAAGGCAGGAACCTGGAAGGATAGAAAGACAACACATGAGCACCATTTCATCACGAAGTGAAGAATACTTTTACTTTTAGGAAGGCCTCCTTCACTGCTTTCCTAAAGGGCAACATACTGTGTTGCTATTTCTTGTTTATCTTGGTCAGAAATCCTGCCCTTCTGGTCAACTTGGTTCCCAAGAACCCTGCAAAAGAAATGAGAGTTTGTTAGACTATTGTATGATAGCCCAGTTTGGAGATTCCTAAAATGAGAGAACAGGCTGTTCCCCCTGAATAAGAATAAAAATGCTCATGGTTTACATTCCCGACTATGTACGTATCCATGGTTAGTAAAGTCTGAATATCCACTTCTTTCTGTTACTCTGAAGTTCATACTACAAAATTCACTGCTACCACTTTATTCAAGGGACCTCAGAACTCTTAGAGCAGGCATGAGAGGAAATATTCTAAAGCCCTTGCTGTTACCAAGAGTATGAGTCCCACAATAAGCAAAGTCCTTACCAGGAAAGGCCCCTCGTAACAAAGGTACCATCTCTCTATTCTATCAAAAAAAATGGAGGTAATATATCATTTTGCGGGGCTTCTCTGATCTACTTATTCTATCATACAGAGTTCCGGTGTCTGTGCCTGTTCCAACCTGTTATGGAACATGAAATCTCCCTAATCTGAACAAAGAAGCTGTCTGTAATACAGCAAGTTCCAAGAATTCCCCGTCTGATGGCTGAGTCAACCCACCTCACACATGAGACTTCATTCGCTGGGCGAGCTCTTGGTAACGACAATGGCCTCCAGTCCTAACAACCAAGTTCCAGAACGCTGGAGATGGAGACGAGTGAGTAAGCACAAAGCCTGTATCACCTCCTTTCCGGGAGGATAAATTATAGTTTGAGGGGATTCCCAGTGGTTTAGGGTTGTCACCATTTAATTTCAGATTAAACCCCCAAGGCACAGGACAACACTTAGCTGACTCTCTTACTTGATCAAAGACAGCACCTCTCAGACAAAGGCAGTGTCCCAGCAGACTGGGGAAGCGGAAGTCAGAGTTATCTGCTTCCTGTTCCCCTCCCCCACCCTTTTCTATGTCTTGGAATAAAATACCAAGGGTGGCCCATTCCATTTTATGGGGGGGAGATAGTTGCTAGAAAGAAAATAATTTTTTTCCTGTTGATTTTTCATGGGGCTAGGATACCTCTTGAATGAGCTGAGTGAGGAACTAAGTATCTCATTTCCATCATAGTTCTGAATAGGAAGGAAGGTGAAGAAATTTCGAGCCTAAGATTCATGTCCACTTCCTTACCATAAATTATGGATAGGAGTCCAGGAGTCCAATTTTCTTTTGGAAATAGAGCTCTGAGTCATTGAAAAGGTTTCTCTCCTTTCTTTCTTGGAACGACTGGCCTGGAACTCCTTAGCATCCTTTCTCAGCATTTAGAACCCAGATTTAACAGTGATGCACCACAATGCTTGCTTTGTACAAATTTTATAATTATATACTATCTTTTTCTTTGTATTTTTCATTTTAATTTTGAAGCAGTTTCTAGTTATGTACTCCAATATAGCCTCAGGCTTACTGTGTAATGCAGGGTGACCTCAAAACAACAATCTACCTGCCTATGTTTCTTGAGTGCTAGGATTGCAGGCCTGTACATATAAGCTCATATCTTGATTATATGTAGGTGTTCAGCTACTTCCCTACTGAAATCCTTAAGAATTTAAAGTCAACCACTCAGAGTAAAGTCCTAATCCTGAAGACTGTTGATATGAAGTACTGAATGCTATATGTGACCACTTCTGCTTTAACTTGTTGTTGTGGGTAAGACAATATGAGAAGACATGTACCTATGGGGTCCTTTGTTATTTGAGGTGTGTCTTAGAAGTACAACTTTTTCTGATATGGAATCATTTCTTTCCTCTAACCATGTGTTCTGCAATACCACCTAACGTAAAGGTGAGGGTTCTTCTCGACCTAACATCCATGGTTAGGTCCTATGTTACTTGGCATCATGGTATGTTCAAAATTTGAAGCTTGAGTTTCCACTCATATCAGGTGTAGTTAGGATACTTGGTATTTTCACTTCATGCTTGGTATATTTTATCAAAATGAGAAGAAATTAACAACTAGTAATCACCCTTTAAAAATCCTCTATGTGTTTAGCGCCATACTCCCTCAACTTACATTTCCTGAGAAGTTTTCTTGTAGCCAGTTCTGTTATTTGCTTCTGTGAGCTTCAGACCTGCTTCTGCTTAAGGCCCATTCATACTCAGGATCTAGTTCTATACAGATTTTTATGGCACTGCTCTTAATTATTAATATTTATTTTATTTATTCCATGGTTTTTTAATGGTTGATTTCACTCATGGAATTATCCTCTTAAGAGTGGATGTCATTATTATAATGCTTAATGTAAAACAATATGTGAAAAAGTAAGAATTATTGACATCTTTACAATATTCTCATATGAAGCAAATGAAAACTATACATCTCTTATGTAGACGCATTTTTTTACTTTTATATCTGCTTCAATAAGAATTTTTACACTTCTATTTTGCTTTATATATTGTATATTTCAAATATTCTTGATGTTTTAAAAGGTATATATTTCATCAAATGTTTGAGTAGTTACTGTCATTGATTGATTTACCTGACACTTCAAAACTTTTTTTTTCAAGACAAGGTTTCTCTGTGGCTATGGAGGCTGTCCTGGTACTAGCTCTTGTAGACCAGGCTGATCTCAAACTCACAGAGATCTGTCTGCCTCTTCCTCCCAAGTGCTGGGATTAAAGTCGTGTGCCACCTATGCTTGTTTTTTTCTTAATATGTATTTATTCCTGCACATGGTAACATTTGACTTTATCACTTGGGGAGCTCTAGGTTCCAATTCCGTACTATCTAATGTGAATTCACCCTCCTGCTCTTATTTCACACATTTACAAAAAAACACAATGAAAACTACTTTCTCTTGTGTACTTAGGTACACATGAACTTGTAGATCAGGACTACACTTTGAAATTCTCTTTAAGTTCAAGATTTTATTTCTCTGTAGACTTTTATACACATTTAAATTCAATTTGTATATTTGTATTAATATAATAAATATTTCAATGAAAATATCCTAAAATTTATGCGGTGGTATAGAGGATAGAATAATAAATTCAATTATCTGACATTCCTTATCATGAAACCATATTTTTATTAGAAGAATTGTGTTCACGTATAAGTTTCTTATTGGTAGTTACATTTTATAGGCAATGTTTTGTAAATGCATAATGTGTGTTGTCTTTTTGTTGCAGTGTTTTCAAATGTTACCTTCATTTATTTACATCTTAAAGAGTAAAAGATGTACTCTTGATTTTAAAATTACTTTCAGTTTATTACTGGAAATTCTTTGGAAAGACTCTTCATTTTCCCTCATTTATCACCTTGCCATATTGATAATATGTAGTTATAGTATTTCATTGTGTTTTATTTAAATTTTTTGACTGCTGAGGAAGAACAACAACTACTAAAAGACATTTGATTGTAAATGGTGCTAGATTAATCCAACCTATATATTTTGAAAATGCCTTGACTTCAAAATTTAAGTCTAAGGACATGTTACTTTGGAAATGAGGTTCTACTTTTGTTTCCACAGAAGAGGAAAAGCTGTGGATTCCTTTCAGACTAATATGGTTTGATCAAACAAGATCCCCTGAAGCAGTGTGAAAAATAAATAATTCTTCATTATTGAGGTAAACCCAGTACTGGGTCTCTTCTACATCTATCTAGCTCTTTTCCTGGTCCCCATGGTGCCCACAACTATGCTGGTTGTGGCAACTTTTCATTCCTAATGTTGGTGTTATTGTTAGACTGTGTATAGCTGTTGGGAGAAGCATTGTCAGCTGAGATAGAAAAATTTCATTTAAAAATTTTATTTTTATTTATATAACACCTTACGTGTATTATAGATATTTTAAATAAATAATTAAAAGTATGTGCTGTGCTGACTAGCTTTTAGGTAAATAATTAATAGAATTACTTTACTGGCTAGTTTTCCACAGTTGTTTATTTTTGAAATCATACTACAATTATAGCATTTCTCCCTTTTTTCCTCCTTCCAAACCCTCCCATATACCTCTCCTTGCTGTCTTTCAAATTCATGCCCCCTCTCCTTGAAATGTTCTTACATGTATATATGTATAATCTGCTCAGTTTGTATAATGATAATTGTGCATATATATCAGGGTCAGTCATTTAGTATTGGATAACCACTTGCTGTGATCTCCCGCAAGGAAACTATTTCTCCACTCTCAGCATTCCTTGGTTGCCTAAAATCCTTTTTGTAGGATTGAGGTCTCATGAGCTATCCTCTTTCCACATTTAGTATACCATTGTTGTTATCCTTATTCAGCTCATGTTTTATCAGTCTTGTTGGTAAGACTCCATGAGTGTAGCTTATATTACTAGAAGACACAAGCTGCTCCTGCTTCCCCAATGTTTCCTGAGCTTTATGTGTACTGTTGTTTTGTTTTTATGAAAACTTGATGCAAGTTAGAGTCATTTTGGAAGAGGGAACACCAACTGAGAAAATGCCGTCACCAGATTTACTTGTGAGCCAGCCTGTGGTGCATTTTCATGATTTATAATAGATGTGGAACCACCCTGATCACTGTGTAAAAGTCCCACCTATGGGCTGGTTATGGGTAATACACAGAAGCATGCTGAGCAAGTCATAAGGAACAAGCCTTTAAGCAGCTTCTTCCATCATATCTGCATCAATTCCTGCCTCCACATTCCTGTCTTGAGTTTCCATCCTGATTTTGCTCAGTGATAATCTAAGACATGAAACTGTAAGCTGAAATAAATCCTTTCCTCCTCAAGTTGTTTTTGGTCATAGTGTTTTATCCCAGCATTTCCTTATGACTTTTTCAGACACCCCTAATATTATTTTACTCTCCTCCTTCCTTCTCTATTTACCTCTCTCCTCTATCCATAATTAGACCCCTACTTGTCCAATTTCTCCCTTCAGATGACTTGTACCCTGTTACTACTGTCTTCGCAATGCTCTCCTACAATGGTCCCTATTCACTTTCCTGGTTTCATTAGACTTTTAAGACTGAGAAGATAGCTCAGTTAGTAAAGTGCTTGCCTTATAAACCTGTGTTCAAATTCCAAAGCTCACCATTATACTTTTAATATCCATGCAATGATTACTTATGGCCTGTCTTTGTTTTTGATATTCATAGCTTATGTTTTCCTTTATTTTTAAAAATTTATTATTATTATTTATTACATTTTTAATTAGAAACAAGCTTGCTTCACATACCAATCCCAGATTCCTCCCCCTCCCCTCCTCCAGCACCTCCATACCAGCCCCCCCAGCCTCCCACCCTATCCCCGCTCCCTTCCCCATAGGGGATCTCCAGAGTCTGTCATTTCATTCAGGGCAGGACCTAGGCCCTCCCCCAAGAGTCCAGACTAAGAGAGCATCCCTCTTTGCGGCATGGACACTCAAAGTTCATTTATATGCCAGGGACAAATACTGATCTACTGCACAGGGCCCCATAGATTGTCCAGGTGTCTTCACTGACACCTACATTCAGGGTGTCTGGATCAGTCCCATGATGGCCTCTCACCCATCAGTCTAGGGTCCTAGAGCTCCCCCTTTTTCAGGTCAGCTGTTTTTGTTGGTTTCACCAGCCCATTCTTTACCCCTTTGCTCATCACTCCTCCCTCTCTGTCACTGGTTTCCAGGGGTTCAGTTTAGTGTTTAGCTGTGGGTGTCTGTCTCTGCTTCCATGAGTCATTGGATGAAAGGTTCTAGGATGGCATATAAGTTAGTCATCAAACTCATTATCAGGGATGGGCATTTAAGGTAGTCTCTCCACTATTGCTTAGTTTGCCAGTTAGTGTCTTCCTTGTAGATAGCTAGAGATCTCCTAGTGCCAGATCTCTTGTCAAACCTGAGCCATTTTTTTTGCCTTCTTAATGTGGCTTCAAGTCCATCACCTTCACCAAACTTATTAAAATGACAGAATTTGTTCCTAATGATTTTCTCT